AGGATCTCGTTTCCCTCTCAAACTAATGTGGGATCTCACAATCCACTCATTTAGGTCCTAACGTCCGCACTGGCACTCTGTCTGATGTATGACTCTAATAGCTTACTGCTAGCAGATGTTGTCCACTTTGACCCGTTACATATTATCGTCATCCTCGCGATTTTAAAACATGTCTACTAATGAAAGGTTTTCATACTAAATTTATAATGTTTTTGTTTATTTGAGTTGATCAAATTTTTCAGGTTATTAATTTTTTTTATTTTTAATATTTCGAATAAAAAACTTCAACTCGTTTTTTGTCTTTTTAAAAGTTAATATTAATAACAGACGAACGAGCCCACTTGCCATAATTATGACCTATGAGTTGAACTATACTCGAGTCTACAATTTTTTTTAATTTTTTAATATTCACAAATCTTGAAGATGAAGCCGAGACTTGTATGTACCTCAATGAAAATACTGGTACCTTACAACATTGAATTGTCAATCCTAGCACGTAGGGTTTAAAATCCAACCACCACGAGATTTAAATATTCAAACTAATCGAATCGTACCTGAAGTAAGCTGCTTTCTTGTCTTTTTAAACATTATTATAATTTAAAATGGTGACGTATGAAGGAGTCCACTTGTATACGTTATGATCAACGAGTTGAACTATATACGAGTCTACGACTCTTTTTATTGTTTTTTAAAGTCCTCAATTAAAATGCTGGTACGTTTACAACGTCAGATTCTCAATCTTAGCAAGTAGTTGTCTCGGGTTTAAAATCCGACCGCTATGAAATTTGAATCCATCCCCTTATAGTATTTCTACACACGCGCGATATATATTTTGTACATCTCGATAATCACTACATCAAACAATAGTTTTTTTTTTTTAACATATTTGAACCGGCTATATTCTTTTTAAATCTCTAATACCTAAGGCAAAGAAATTAATCAAGAAACCGGTCGTAATGTAATAGACGAATTTGTTTTGTCAAATGTATAAAAGAGAAACTCTAAAAATATTTTAAATTTGTAACTATTAAAAGAACAGTTAGGTTAATTTAGGGGTGTACATGGTCGAGTTGGGTTAGGTTGAGGGATTTTTTTAACCTAACCCAAAAGTTCGGTTTGGTTTGATTGGTAACCTAACCCAACCCGAAAATTTTCACAACCCAACCCAACGCCCTATTTTCAGATTGGGGTGTCGAGTTGTCAAATTTTTTTTTAAAGTTTTATTTATCCACCCTTCGTAATTATTCGGATACAATCTTAGATAAAATATACTAAAAGTTCACGAACAAACACAAATCAATCTATAAATATTAACATACGTACTATGTGTTAAACATATTTGATAACTAAAAATCTAATCAAGCGCAACTCAACCTAATTCAATCCAATCCAACGAATAAAGAGATATTATATTATATGAATTAATATTTTGTTTTTATTAAAATTAAAAATTTTAATTTATTTTAAAATAAACCAAAATAAATTAATAATTAAATTAAATTAACGAGAATTATTTAAATTTTTTAAAAAAATACAAATGAAACAATTAAAAGAAATGTGAATGAGGCTCATACCTAACCCACCTGTACCTCTATTAATTAGAACAATAATAGAGTTATTTAAAAAATAATGGCAACAAATTTGAAATTATTTAGGAAAATAAAGTTTTTTTTTTTATTTTTAATTTTAAAATTTTATTGGAATAAAATTATATGATATATATATATATATATATATTATAATTAAGGCTATATAGGAGAGCCCAAGTTGGGTTTGCCCCCCACCACTTGCATCTCCTTTAAAAGAAATCACAGTAGAAAGAGAAAGGTAGAGAGAGAAGGGGGCCATGGCCGATTTTTCTAGAGCTTTTCTTAAATTGTCAGAGAACAATAAAGAGCTTTAATCTTAGCTGTTGTTCTTGTCCAGTCATGGCCGAGAGCCCATAATCCTTTGTCTCCATCTTCCGCTTTAAATCCACCTCTCTTTCAACCCTCGGAATTTTCAGATAGAGAAAAGGCAGGCAGGCAGGAACAGAGAGAGGTGAAATCGTGCTGCAAGATTCTGTTCGGGTTTTTATTTCTTTCTGTTGAAGAAAGAATCATGAAGATCCGTTGCGATGTTTGTGATCAGGCTGAGGCTTCTGTTTTTTGTTATGCTGATGAAGCTGCTCTTTGCCATGGCTGTGATCTCCATGTTCACCGCGCCAACAAGCTCGCTGGAAAGCACTCACGATTCTCGTTAATTCAGCCGATCAAAAAGGATTCTCCTCGTTGCGATATCTGTCAGGTAATTTTGATTCTGGAAAATGTTTATGTTTTGAGTTTTGAGGTTTTTGTGAAATCGAATCGGTGTTGAAGAGAATCTTTGCGTTCTTTTGTACCTTTCTTGGAAATATCTGCTTTGTTTCGTCTGTTTCTGATATCCTTCGTTTCGTCGATTTGTGGAGTTGGAATAATTTGGCGAATCAGCGATCGTTGATTCGGTGTCAGAAGGAGAGGATTCTTACAGAATTTGATTTCATTTGCAGGAACGTCGCGCGATCGTTTTCTGTCAACAAGATAGGGCGATTATTTGCAGAGAATGCGACATTTCGATCCACCACGAAACGAACGAACATACGCAGAAGCACAGTCGATTTCTTCTCACAGGTGTGAAGCTTTCTTCGACTTGTTTTTCGTCCCAAACATCTTCGTCCTCCCATGGCTGCGATGCGGCCATGGATGTTAAAACTGGAAGCTCTCACGCTTGCAGCAAGAAGCCTAAAATAGCCGTGAAGGCAATCAGCTCTCATTCCGCTGAAAAAGCTGCTCCATCGACAAGTAATTACAAGGTCGAAGACGGCCAAGCAAGCGACGGCGGTTCCTTCTCGACGAGCAGCATATCGGAATATTTGGAGACATTGCCGGAATGGTGCTTGGAGGAATTTCTCGATCCTTCCGCCGTTGCCAATCACTTCTGTAAGGTTCGCAGTACACCCTCGGTGTAGAGTGAAAGTAATTTCACGAACCTCCATGTTTGCTTGCTTCACACTTCATCCTCTTCTTCTCTCATTCTAATGGTTCCTTCTTTGGATCGGTACAGCTTAATGCATTTGCGAATCAGAATCTGGAGAGCCAGCAAGAATCGTTAGGCACCATCAGATTCGGCACCACCTTGAAATTTGTAGGTAAAATTTCTCAAACTACATCTTGGAATGGAGCTAAAATCTCCATGAAAACTTGTAAAGCTGAAGAAATGGCACGGTTGCTGATCAGATCATCAGCAGCTTCGGATCTGAAACAAATCTGGTAAATTTTTAACTGGTTATGATGAGATTGGAATCGAAATCAATTTGTTTGTTTGGTTTAATTTGGCAACTAAACAACTTATTTTTGTTTGGGGACATTGGCAGATTATTATTTTAGGCCAAATATATTTTTTGTCCATCAAATTTAATTCGAAATGGTTTAGTTGAATAATAATAATAAAAATAAAAATAAAAAGATTTGCCAGTTATCATTTTTATTAGTTTTATTTACATAAAATTTTTAATGAGTTAGGTAAATTATTTAATTATTATTTTTATTTCAATTATAAACTGAACTTTATAAATTTAAAAATTTATAGTATCTTTTAAGCTTCTAAACTTTCGTTTTATTATAAATTAATTTAAAAAATTAACAAACTTAGATATAAATTTAAATTTTATGTCGTGAAAGATATCCATACATTTTTGTGTAAATACATGGACTCTTTTTCTTTTTTATTTGGGTTTGGTCGGGTTTCTCAACTCCATATCCCTTTCTTTATGTCTAATCTTCTTATACCCAACATTCTCCCCCTTAACCAAGCACTCATCAGTTTGGTTAGTGAAATCGAACCTGTCGCTGCCTTGAAACCCTTTGGCATGTTGAGGATTGTTGTGAGAAGAGTCCTATATCGACTAATTAAGAGGTTAATCATAGGTGGTTTATAAGCAAATAAATCTTCATTAGTACATGGTTTTTTGAGAAAACCAAAAATAAAGTCACGAGAGCTTATGGTCAAAATCGATAATATCGTACTATTTGATGTTTGTAATCCAAAGGTTTATAAGCAAATAAATCTTCATTAGTACATAGTTTTTTTGAGAAAATTAAAAATAAAATCACGAGAGCTTATGGTCAAAGTCGATAATATCATACCATTAGATGTTTGTAATTCCTAACACGACCATAATAATAATAATAATAATAATAATAATAATAATAATAATAATAATAATAATAATATTTCTCAATAGATTAAACTGTGTTTTACCTTATTTTTCTTCTGTTTTTTTTTAAATTTTATTTTGAGAGTTGTTTTTGAGTTCAAGAGCCTATTTCAATTTTTTTTAAACTAGATTAAATATTTTTGTGAAATACTCACCATAAAATACTTGTATGGGAGGCTGATAATCATGAATAAAAATAGTAAAAATTTTAACATTTTACTTTTATTTTAGTCTCTAAATTTTTTTAAAAAAAATATATTATCGTCGATTACCCTAAAATAGTAAATGTTTTAATATTATATTGGTAGTAGATGAGAACCAAACACCTTTACAAGAATGCGGAAACCTTTTCCTAGTAGACGCGTTTTAAAGCCTTGAGCGGAAGTTCGAACGAGAAGTGAACAATAACTGCTAACGATAAACTTGAACTTGGACTGTTACAATAACAATCAAACCCGTTACACTTCTAGAAGTTTCTAAGTTAAAATAAAAATTTTACCACTACAAATACAAAATAGAATATATCTCAATACATCAAAACATAAACGAGTTAAAAAAATAAAAAATAAAAAGTCTTTTAATTCTATGACCATTGAATAGTACAGCAATAAGAAACTAGTACAGTAAATATAGCTGAGTGTTAGTTAAGGACAGAATGAAATATTTACCAGAAAAAACTAACTTCAGAGAAGAACTCAGAAGAAGATAACAAATCTAATTTCCATTATTTTTATTATTATAATTTTTATTTTCTTTAATTAATACATACAAAGAACAAAGCCAGACATTTATTAAGTTGCATTAAATGCTTACTTTGAGAAATTCCCAACAATATTCCTGCAAGCTCAGCTGCAGCCCTACGTTGTTCATTCCTTAAATTTCCACTCTCTTTTATCTTTATCCTTATCTTTCTCTCTCTAGAAAGTCCGTATAAAACGACATCGTTTAATGACAGCCTTGAATAAATATTAAGATAGTAGTAGAATAAAGGTATATAGTGCAAGAAAACAAAAACAAAAACAAACCCTTTTCCAAATCTGCATGAATTGAACAGGGGCAGAGATCCACAAGGCAAAAGGTTCTACAAGCACAATGTGACTGAATTAATGATATGCATATACATACATACATACATACATACATATATATATATATATATATATATATATATAGATATATAGATATAGAAGGATGTTCTAGAGCCCTATCCAGATATAAATTGGTAGTTTAAGTGAAACAACTAATCAAAGAAGATTTCCATGTTGAAATATGAAGTTCCTTAACTACTTCTGGTATGATTATTTTACATCTCTCAGAGACTTAGAACACAATAAATTAATTATGTACCTTTTTGTACAGTTGCATGTAAAGCAAATCAAATAGAAGAATCTAGTCCTCCGTCGCATTGTAGATTCAATATTGAATTCCTGCCAGTAAAACAGGTTTAAAAGCGGTGAACCAGTGATTGATGGAATAGGAGAAGGGATAGAATGAATTTACCTTGTGGGGAAAGGCAGGCATGGAAGAACATGTCAAGAAGTAAATGCAAAGAGCCTATCTACAATCTTTGTCCGACAGATTGGACACTCAGAACAGGCAAGTGAACAAGATTTACATACTGCCAGTTTCAGAAATGCCAATAATTAGAATATCAAAATGTAGGAATTTTAAGAAGGTTGGTTTAAGAAAACTTACAACAAAAATGTCGACATGGAAGAAGAATTGCTGCAGTTGGCAATTCAAAACATACTTTACACATGTGTGAATTCGTATCTACATTTTCTAGGCACTTTAGATCCTTTTCCTTCATCACTTGCATCCGTGCCTGAAAGGTAATCATCAACAAATCTTGTCAAAAACAAAAAATGTCAGATCCAACGGCGGTTGGAGAGGAGAACGAAACACCCTTTATGAGGGTGTGAAAACCTCTCCCTAGCAGAAGCGTTTTAAAAACCTTGAGGGGAAGCCCGAAAGGGAAAACCCAAAGAGGAATATCTACTAGCGGTGGGCTTGGACCGTTGCAAAAAATTTCACAAATATTTCAATGATCTTCTCTGCTGAAAATTCATACCTTTGGGCTTTCCCTTTTGGGCTTTCCCTTTTGGGCTTTCCTTCATGGCTTTAAAACGCGTCTGCTAGGGAGAGGTTTCTACACCCTTATAAAGGGTGTTTCGTTCTCCTCCCCAACCGATGTGGGATCTCACAGTTTCAGAGATGTTCTATGCTGAAATTTCATACCTTTAGGCGAACAACCAGAGGTTCCTCCTCATGGGATTCTTCAGATTTTTTCGAATCATCAACTGGATCAGCATCTTCTTTAAAGATGGCTATTGTTTCATTATCATTCGTCTTTGAATCGATATCATTTTCTGTTCCAGAATTCTGCCTTGCATCACTTTTAACATCTGAAATAGCTCCACCTCCGGCCTCTTTCTTCAACTTGGCAACCAGTACCCACATATTGGCTAAATCATTTTCAAGAGACACTTCCCTTTTCTTTGCCTCTTCCATTTTCTTTCGGTAATCATCTTCTAGGAGCTCCTTTTCAGCTAAAGCAGCCTCAAGGGCCTCCTCTCTTTGTTTCCTTGCGTGAAGTTCCATTTTTAAGTCATCTGGATCAAGATTCCAAGATTCAAAATCATCACTGGTTGCTGCTGAAACATCAATAGACCGGCCAGAGAGCCTTCCTTTCCTTCCAGGTTTTGAACCATCATTGTACTTGCGATTTCCACTGAGATTATTCTGTGTATTCTTAGAGTGGGCCAATTCTCGCGCACTCAATAACTCCTTTTCTAATTTTGCATTTTGTAAGGAGAGCTTCGTGACTTCAGCTGCTAAATTTTTCAGCTCAACAGCAGCAGCAGAGGCTAGCTCCTTTGCGTAAGAAGCTTCTTCTGCCAGTTTTTGATTCTGTACATGTAACCCACTGATCTCTTCTGAAAAGTGAACTGATTCCAATTTCAGTTTCTCATTCTCTATCTCCTGCTTAAATAAACAATCTTCAGATCATCAAACACACAGCCATAGCTCGAAGTTATATAAAAACATCAAATATGCATAAACAATTAGAAATACATTACATCTATAATAAACTACAAAGACACAGGCAAAATGAACAAGCCGTGTCGTAAAAAAACATATAGCACAGCCACTCATCCTTCTAAATTATTAGTGGTGTCATCCAATTATAGACAGTGATGCCATAGATGAAGCTTCAAGAATCAGTAATCTACAAAACTACTATAACCAAAAGTGAAAAGTCTTGCCTGAGATTGAATCTTCTTTTTGAATTCTTCTACATATTTTTCTGGAAGACAATTTTCAGATGAAGTTGACACTTTATTGCTAGTAACTGAAGCCAATTGATGCTCTAAGAGTTCTACTTTCTCCTGTAATTCTCTGTTCTCTGCACACTGCCAGCAGACAAATATGGAAGCAAGTGATGTTCCAAAACTAAACGAGGGGGAACAAGGAGAAGGAAGCTTCTCAATAAGATCAATTGCTCGATAATTTTCGACTACAGGGATATTGTGAAAAGAGTGTACATGAATTGAATAAAGAAGAGAGGTAGTAAGAACCTTGTTCTGCAATTGCTCTTGAAGAACACGGTTGTCTGCCTTTTTGAGCTGGATCAAGAGAAGAGAGTTTATTAATTTAATTTAACAACATTGTATCAAAGTCCTAAAATTAATTTAACTCAGAAAACTTACCTCAAGCTCAAATTCCTTTTCACCGCACTGAGTCATTAATCTTGTAACAGTCTGCAACCGACAAAAGCAGTAGAAAATTATTTTTAAAAAATCTAATATAAAAATAAGTTAAAACACTTGAAGGCAGGTCAATAAGCTCCAGGAAGCAGCACCTGCTGCATTTCAACCATCGATGCACTAGAAATTGAAGGCTCGCTACCCTCATTAATTCGTTGTTCCAAAGCTCTCATTTGCCTCTTTTTTTCTTGAATTTCTTGTTCTAAGTTCTGGATCTGGATGAAGGAACATAGACATGATTAAAATATTGGCTTAGAAACCTTATGTCAACTTCTGGAGTCAATAAGATGCAGCAAAGAAATAAAACTCATGAATGACTATACTTGAACTTTAGAACCATCAGGATCATCAACAGATTGCTCAATCAAACGTTTCAGTGCACTGGTTTCAAACGCAATCTCTTCAGCAAGCATCTTAACTTGCTCGACCAGTAGATCCATCTGATCTGACATTGTCATCTCGCCCTACATTAAAATACAAACAATCATTTTAATATTCATAGCTCATAACTCTAAGAAAACAGAAAAACCTTCCTTAGAAAGAAACTAAGGAGGGTGGGAGATCAAAAACCAGCAAAAACCCTAGTGAGATCCATAAATTAATATGATATAATTCAGTACTTTCTAAATTGCCACTGTTTCAGTATGATATTTAATTTGTGAAGAGAAACTCATTTAGATATAACACATCACAGAGAAATTATCTGAGCAAACAAGAATTGTGATAAGCTTTCGGTATGATAATCTGTTGTGCAAATAATTTACTCACGTTAGATGATCCAGTGATTGTACTATCAGCTGGTAAGAGTTCACCGTTCAACTGATCTGAGTGAACAATTGAAGATAGATCATTTTGATTCTCACTTCCGGAAAGTAACCCTTGGGTGACCTCAACCTTCTGAAAAAGAAAACTGAAAAATGAGCAACAGATCTATTTTTCTCAAACTAAAGTAAGAACTGCAAAAATTCAGTCACATAGAAATAGGAAAAGGAAGGCCACTTGACAAAAATATCTGGTTTGATGTTTTATTCTACACAAGTAACACAACTAACAATTTCATTGTAATCTTATCTAAATAGAAGCAGATTATGATGATAATTGTCGTTGCAAAAATGTATGGACGAAGAACTACAGATTCCCTTCACTGACAGTAAAGTGTTTCATGAGGAAAATAAGGCAATGTAAGATGAGAGTGCTCATCTTGGATCTTCTAAACACTGAATTTGTAAGTTATTCACATTTGTGATGGCAATGACAATCACAAGAGAAGTGAATGTGCATACGTATGTTGAAGAAAGCTTATAGCGAAAACTTACATCATCAAAAGAAGATTTGTTCCTTTGATGACTAGGAACGTCACTCAAACATCCAGGAATAGAATTCTTAGAAGAGACAAGTATGAGTTTAGTCAGCCTCTGAATCCTACTCATGAGAGCAACCTTAGCTTCTTCCTCTTCTTCTAATCTTGATTGCATTTTCACTTGACCTTCTTCCAACTATTTAATGATAACAAGAATGACTTAGTGAAATAGAATTCTGGAAATAGTAATTGGGCCACCAAACATAAGCGAAAAAAACAAAAACCTGCTGCCTTAAATTCATTATCTCCTCATGATTAACACCAGCCAGCATCCCCCTCTTTAATTGATCAAGTTCTTGCTTGAGGATTGAAATTTCTGTCTGATACTTCTTTATCAAAGACTTTTCATCAATTATCTGAACATATAATAAAGAGTGAAGAAAAGTGTTAAAGCTTATGTGAACAACAGACACTTCCTTTTAACTTCATGTCGAAAAGAAAATTCAATCAACCTTATTGCGCGAGGCATAGATTTCAACTCGTTTGGCCCTGCTAGCAAACTTCAATGTATTGTGAGTTTCCTCCATGTTACTGGATGCAGGAGTTACAGTGCAAATGAGCTGGAGATAATTTGTATGTTAAACCAAAAAGAAGTTGGAAAATTTCACTGCATAAATATTAGCGGAAAGTAAAAGGGACAGCAGATGATAAGAAATAAAAATGATTCACCAACAAGTTCCATTCACGAGAAGCACGGACTACAAAAAAGTTGTTTCTAAATCATATACTCACTGAAACGTGTCCATGCCCACTGAGTGAGGATTGAAGAAGACGGGTAAGCTTAGAATCTCGATAAGGAACATGGGATGCCTTTCCCTCGCTTAATTTCCCAATAACCTTCACAATGCAACCAAATATAAAAATTACTTCCATCTTGAGGTATCCGCTACATAAATACATTCTCATGAAAATTAAATTTATTCATAGACATTCCAATATCAACTACAATAAATGGATTGATGAAATAGATGAGATCCTAACCAACAGGCATGTAATAGCAGAAGAATAATGGATGGTGAAGCAAAACTTGGTTTTCTAAAGTTGGTTCAGAATCACACAAGTCCTAATTGTACGTTTATATTTGTTAGGGAAAAGCGCAAAAATATTTAATCAACACACAAAAGCCCTATAAAAAGGCACCTACTGTTCCAAGAGTCAAAAGGCTTTTGTTTATATAGGCTCCTTCCTTTCTCCTCAGTCCAGTAGTTTCGGTCTTTGAGCTCTCCGACCCAGCTAAATCTATCAAGTTCTGTAGCATGGAGTTAATATTAATGAGAGTGACACATTAAAGTTTAACAGCATCACATATCAGAATGAAAAAGGCCTGTTCTTACAAGTTGAGAGAAGATGACACCATCATACTCATCGCCACGTGCACTACTTTCAATCATCTGCAAGAGCATACAGCACACTTAGTTTAGAGAGGCAGAAGATGGAAAAGAATGCACAAGAGGATGAAAGCAACCACAAATCTGATAAGCATACACGCCAGAACCTATCATAACCTGATAAGCATGCACACTTGCAACTCCGTGTGTAGGTGTCTATTTGAATTTATGTACTTGGTTTGGATATGCAAATTTTTATGTTTCTATGAATGTATTTATGTATTGATCACATGAGCATGAAGAAACCATATCTGGGTGCATTTCTATGTGCATACATGCTCATATATGTATTTATGTACATATCACTCCATCCATTTGTGAATAATCTTGAACTTGGAATTCCTCAACTAATTGTTTCTAGCAAACAAATAATTTTTTTAAGTGGGGGGAAGGGACCCAAATTTCACATAGAGCTAGCACTGCAGAGACAAGTTTGTCAGTTTCGTGTTTTTAAATGCACGTCCAACAAGTTTCTAAGTGGTAACATAAAGAGGCGACGCCCGGATTGCAGAAAGCAATTTATATCATGGAAAACAAACCTCGTTCTGATATAGAAAATAAAACCATAGCCAAGAAATGAACTAAAGAGCAAGCAATTGGATGCTCCACCAGCAAGGAAATGTTTAGTTTTACCAGCGTAAAGATGGTGTGACTCCGGCTACTAAAAAGATTGAAATTGTTTGATCCAACGTGACGATGCTCTGCCATTTAAGACCTTTAGCCATAAATCACTTATGCACATAAAATGAGAAGAGAAATGGCACCGAAGCAGAAGTGCTCAGTAAATACCTTCTCCAGCGGCTATAAATGATAAAGCATGTCCAGGAGACAAAACCACTTCTTCCTTTATACCCTCAACATAGGTGCCCTAATAGACGATAGCAGCATCAAATATACAATTATAACAAAACAAAAGCAGTTTACAGTGTGATGATTACAAGGAAAAGTTAAGCACCTGTGCATCTTCCCTAACACGCAAATTCTGACCTGTTGGATCCAGCAAGTCATTTATCACCTGTGTATCAAGAATGCAAATATGATCAGGAGTCTAATAACTTAAGATTTGGAATGTACTGTTTAGCAGTTTTCCCCTGATTGTTTAGATGCCAAAAACTATATTCCTTTCATACAAAAACAAGCCATAAACGAGATTTACAACCACCAATGGAACTCAAAAACTAAATAACAATTTAGATCTGGTCGGCACTGAAACTAGAAAACTCTCTGTATAGAATTACTTACTTCGTTGTATATTTCAAGGTAAGATACACGGAGCAAGAATTCTCTTCCAGGAGTCTACACAGAAAAACAAACACTCATCTATATGGTCAAATACTCGGAAAAATAAATAAAAAACAGGATTTAAAATTTTGCAACAAATAAATATAATTTGATAACATGCAGAAGCAAGGAGGAAAAATATGCTAATAAAGGAAAGGCTAATTACAGTAAAGCAAAAGTCGTGCAATTTCTTTTTTAATATATAGCAGTCTTTTCTTCATAGTTCATGAATAGCAAAAATCCCTTCACAAATATTAATAATTATTCAATGTTATATAATAATATGTATTTATTAAATTTTAAAAGTATTTTTACCTCTTTAAAGAGGCTGTAGGTTCGAGTATTCACCACAAATTTGTGATGTAATCGTCCTCAAAAAATTAGATGGTTGTATGTATTCGATAACCATTAAATAAATCATGGATGAACCTGACAGGCAATTTAGCTCATCAAATACCAACAAAAGAAAAATCAACAATTTAACAATTTATTTGAATCTTAACTTAAATAATGTTAGTTCATGTAGTAATTTTGCACGTTCATTAACCAAACTTAGCTGGCCTCAAATTTTATTTAACTCGATTCAATAATTATTATAACATTATTCAGGAATCAAATTTGTGGCAAAGAGAACCATTGTTATGTGTAATGATAGTACTAAATGCTGATACATGCTATGAGTTCTAATTAAGAAGCATCAACAAGGAAAAGAACTAGAGAGAATACTTTTCAATATCTCACTTTAAAATTATGCCGGGACACTTACATCTTGGATGATGCTGAAGACATCTTTTATAGCCAGTGGTATGATCCCTGGAGAGTTTTGATCTCCCTGTGAATTATTTATACAAGCAAATCAATAACATTACTCATGCATGAAATATAGGGTTTGCAAAGTATAACTGGGGGAGGTAGAAAAGTATAAAAAAGATAACACTGGAAAACATCATGGTAGAAAAAGCAAATATAAAGTAGAGGAAGAGTAAATTATTAAATCATCTCATAACAACCTATAGTCATATTGGCATCAGGCAAATTAGCTTGTGTCTCAACCAAACTCATCACTATCTGCAGATCTAACACCAACCTATAGTTCCAAAATGAAATGGAATGGCGAGATTGGAAAAAAAAAAACAGAAGAAGAGAAGAGAAGAGAACCATTGGCACTTGTTCCTTGATTCATTATATCATTCAATATAAATGTAAACGTGCTACTACTCACTTCTGAAAGTCCCATTTTTGTAGTTTCCAGCTGAATATGTAAAAAAGAAAACCCTATGCATGTGTCATTGGCCGTAAAGGCTAACCAACAATGATAAATTAACAGCAGAAGACCAAAAACTAGGAGGCTAAAAATCAAATGCTAAAGTTGATTCAGCAAGATGATAAGAGCTTGTATCTCTCTGGTCACTTCAGTCTGGAAAAATCCATCCCAACACGATCAGTATGTTAAGTTTCTAGCATGCCACGATTCATCAAAAAGAAATGTAGGGCTATAAATGTAGAGAAGAAAAATGAGGAAAAACCCAACTTGATGAAGAATACCCAAAGTCAAATTCAAGAAGTAGAGTTTGCAAAGATTTATAGGTCCAAAGAACGATACTCACAAGAACACATAACTATTCAAACTTTTAACGGGGCGGGCTCTTATAAGGACACGAATATTGATGGTTAACAAAGCTGTTAGCGGTAGTTAGAACAAGCTGAATTCTTAGAATCTGGTTTTCATTAAACAGTCCATGGTTACTAAACATAATAAATGCAATTAACAGTCTCGTAAGTGATTGATGGGTTAAGCAAATCAGATTTAATAACTCAATTAAGATTACACGAGTAGGGAAAACATTAAAGCATCATACATACATGCATAGTGTGCGTCTTCCCACTGCTTGTCACACCGTAAGCAAATACCGTTCCTGCATATCAAAACACAGCAGCTAAGATCCTTCTTTCAACATCTTATATGGAAACTTGAACGACTCTACAAGTTATTATGTTGATTAATTCAAAGAATGTCTAGCTGGGTGGACTCTAGGAAGCGTTTCTCACCATGAACACCCTCCATAGCTGCCTTAACGACTGGCTTAGCCGCAACTTCATACACCTCCGGTGAAATCGTATCTGGTCCAAACACCTTATCTGCCACAGAGATACACCGCCCTCGATATGTTATAAACCCGAAAACCCATACATTGCAGCCACGTTAATCCAAACTAACATTCCTACCCTCACACATAACCATAACCACACTATCACAAGTTCAAATTCAAAATCTACAAATTCAAAAATGGGTACCAAATCCATAGGCCGTGGCTGGATTATACTCATTGCGTACGATCTTGTCCCCGTCCGCATACCAAGCAATCTCATCCCCTTTCAGGAACTCCCTCTCGCTGCAAGCATAAGCCCCAGACCCAAACTCAATCAATCGTAAAAACACAAACACTAAAATCAATCGCGGATCTGATCCAACACTCTCCTATCTCTCCACTTACCTCAAAGGCCGAAAACGAATCGTCACAGAAATGCTATCCCCGTTCCTCGGCTCATCCACAGGCTCAGACATCAAATCATCGGAAATAAACCCTACCGGTGAGCAATCACCATAACCACCACCATTAACCATCGATCTAGAACCAAATCCACTGCTCATTCCATAATGCGAAGATGCTGAACTCGAACAAGATCGAGGAATCATCTTCCCGTTCGTGAAAGAACTCGGCGATTGACTCGAAGAAGAAGACGAAACAGATTTCCGGTGCGAAAACGGCGAACTACTCCGCGTTCTGGACGATGATGCCATCGACTGAATCCAGCAAGTCAGTGACCACTCTGAGATCAAAATGCAAATCAAATAAAATTAAAAAAAAAAAAAAAAAAAAAAAAA